ACACAGCATTTCCGACCACAACAAGTTCAAAAAATAAGAGGTGTGGGCGTCGCACCGGGGGGGACGCCCTACTACTACTACTACTACTACTACTACTACTAGTACTACTACTACTACTACTACTACTACTACTACTATAACTACTACTGCTCCTACTACTCCCACCACTCCTACCACAACAACAGCAGCAACAACAACTACTACTACTCCTCCTTCTGCTGCTGCTGCTATTGCTAATTCTACCACGACGACTACCTGAACCCTAAACCCTAAACCCTAAACCCTAAACCCTAAACCCTAAACCCTAAACCAAAGCCCTAAACCCTAAACCCTCGAAGCCCTGGAGGCTTTGGCCCTCCAAGAGCCCTCGCTGCGGAACGACCGACGGCCGCAGTCCGCACCGAGCCACGTAAGCTCCTCAGGATTAGGGTTTAGGGTTTAGGGTTTAGGGTTTAGGGTCTGGGGTTTAGGGTTTAGGGTCTGGGGTTTAGGGTTTTGGGTCTGGGGTTTAGGGTTCAGGGTTTAGGGTTTGGGGTTTAGGGTTGAGGGTTTAGGGTTTGGGAGTTTAGGGGTTAAGGGCTTAGGGTTTGGGGGATTAGGGTTTCAGGTTAAGGAGTTTAGGGGCTTGGGGGATTAGAGTTTAGGTTTAGGGGAGTTAGGATTTGGGATGTCGGGGTGTAATGTCGTAGGATTTGGGGTTTAGGGTTTGGTGTTTCTTGATTTTGCAATGGTTTCCTGGGCTTTGCAATCCCGGCTTTTAGGTTGGTGGCTGCTACCATGATTAATATAGGGGCCCTAATAATTAGCCTATAGTTCCTTATTATAAATTAGAGTATAGCATACCCAAAAAACCTATTCTAATTATTCAGGCCCCTGTAAAGTTATCATGATGAGTTCTCAGAGCTTCAAGGGTTCTGGGGCCTCCCATACACGGTTCTTTCAGTCCCAAAGCTCGCTATACTGGCTACTACAGAAGGTTTCCGGATACGAGTTTCTGTAAGGGGTGACGATAGGGGTTCCTTCTATGTCAGGCTTCCTGTAAGGGTTCGATACCGGCTTGAAATTTAGGGTTTATGGGGTTTGGGGTTAGGGTTCAGGGCTGCAGTGTTATAGTTTAGCGCTTCGGGTTTTAGGATTCGGATTTAGGGTTTCGGTTTTCCTATTTTTGGGGAAGGGAGGTAGCTCGAGGGTTCGGGGAGGTTCATTTTTTTATACAACCCGATAGGACTTTACAGAAACCCAAGCCGTGTGGAAGCCCTCAATTATCAAGCACTGTGGATCCTCAGGGGTTAGGGCTCGGCGTCCTACATGTCATCATGTTTGGGATGAAGGTCAGGTTAGCTCTAAACCCTAAACCCAAAACCCCGCACTCACAGTGGAGGGTGCGAGGGCTCTCTTGCGGCTAGGGGCCTGCGTTTCGCGCACTTTGTGAAACACTGGTTGAGGGTTTCAGGTTTTTGCTTTGGGGTGTAGGGTTTTAGGGCTTCAGGGTTGTAGGGTTCATCGAACAGGCTTGCGCTGTACTCCATGACGTATTCTGTTGAGGGAATTCGTCGCTGAACATGTTGTCAATGCTGCTCTCTGGCTTAAGCTTGATGCTGAGCCAAAGAACCTTGAGTGTGAACTCTCAGCTGGCAGGTGTAAAGGTACAGATGCTAGCAGTTCACTTTTGTAGCCGAAGCTTCTAATCTTGTACAACTCCAGAAGCTAAAGCTTGATGCTTTCGACCTTTGAGGAAGGAGAAAATTCCGCTCGCGCCTCGGCATGGCCTTGTCTCTGTAAACCCTTGAACTACTCTGCTCCTTAAGCGACCAACATGATCCACGGTGATCTTCAGGGTATGAGCCCAAAACGTACCTTGCTGGAGGGTGAGATGAACGGGCCTAACTACGAGGCGGTTGCGAGCTCCTCAGTGCAGCGGCAGGACGACCCCGTTGTACCTGAGGGCGTCCCTGTGATGAATGGCACCTCGGTGGCTGTAGATGTGGAGCAGGGCGAACAGGCTCAGCCTACTCTGCCGCGGCCGAGCAAGTCGGACCTTCTGGATGCATCAGTGCCTGTGAATCGTGATGATCAAGGGTTTCCTGATACTTCGGAAATTCGAGAACCTCCAGGTCTGACGGCGGGCGTGTTTACTGGGGCACCAAGTGTAGAGGCTGGTGGATTCGAGTTTTCTCCACCAGAGGCCTTCCCAGATCCACCGTCCTCGTCAATGAGCCCTCCTGCTAATCAAGCTATGTGGTTTACGAGGATTGGTGAGTTTGTCCAACGACGGGTCGCTCAAGCAGGAGCGGCTATGACTCCGATCTTGGAGTCTTCACGGGGACCGAGAGCCCCCGGACAAGCGGTGATGACGCCATCCCCTAGGGTGCCGAGACTGTTTTCGCCGGAGGCGGAGAGTACCATGTCGCAGTGGACCCGAAGGGCGCCTCATCTCTACACGCCGGAGCAACGTGCCAACGAGGAGTCTTCAAGCGCCTCTCTCACTCAGGAACAAGTTCTTATGGAGGTGCAAAAGCAGGTGAAAGCTGAGATGAAAGTGCACAACGAAGAACGCCATGCTTTGGCGTTCGAGAACCAGCAGCTAAAGTCTATGCTGGAGCGAGTTTTGGAGCAGGTACAAGTCAGGAACCCGGAAGGCGGAGGACTTGATGGTCAGCGCGGAAATCTACCGGAACCCCATGGAAGTGTTCATTTGGCCCAGGCCTGTGGAGGCGGAGGAATTCCAGGTGGACCGCGCGAACCCCCCAGCAGTGCCGGAGGATGTCCTTCTAATGCCCAACCTGGCCCTGATCTACTAAGGCCTGCTCAAGGTGATGCGAGGGATCTGCATGGAGCTCGAGAAGGCCTCTTTGTACCTGGCGGAGATCCACTTGGGGTCTGTCTTCCTATGAGGGCGAGGACTTCTGGAGAGGGTGGAGCTGGAGTACGAGAGCCTGGGCCAGCAGGTGGAGTGAACCCTCCAACGGCGGCTCCGAAGGTGGCGTCAGCGCCAATGGCCCCGCAGGCGCATGCCCTGCCCTTTGCTGACCCACTTGGAGCTCTTGTTCAAGGAATGGCTCAGCTGCAGACGGCGATGTCCGAATCTTTGACGTCGCGCACGAAGGAGCCTGAAGTTGTGAAACCAGGTTTGTCGGAGTTGCCCAAGCTGGCCGAGCTGGGCCAGAACTCGGCCATTGATGTGGGTGATTGGCTGCATGGACTTCAGAACCACATGGGAGACCTCAGTAATAACAGCGGACAGTGGTGGGCGGAGATTCTGACATGTCTGTCTCGTTACTACGAAGCCTACCTGGCAGCGTCGCATGTTGGAAAACTGACCCTGAAGGCTGAGGACTATGAAACCGACTACCTGAAGAATGAAAAGTGGGCTCGCGCAGACAAGCGCGCCTCTTCGATGATTTTGGCCAGCGTCCCTGAGACAGTCAAAGCCGAGCTTCTTTCAACGAGGCTGGTGGGAACGCTGGCTATGCTGGCAAGAGTGGTGGTGTTGTACCGGCCCGGATCCCTTGCTGAGCGCCAACAGGTCTTGCGCGCCCTGGAGTCACCTGGTCAAGCTGCGAATGCGGCTGAGGCCGTAAATGAGCTGAGGAAGTGGGCGAGGTGGCTGGCTCGGGCTACAGACATAGGCGTGCAGTGCCCCGATGCGAGTGTGTTGGTGAAGGGGCTGGACAACATCGTGAAGAAGGTTCTGCCGGAGCATGTAGACATCTCATTCCGGGTGTCTATGCTTCGTTATACTTTGGAAGTGGACACACGTCCTACTGTCAAGGGCGCCAGGGACTTGCAGCAGGCTTTGATGAGTGAGCTTGAGCAGGTAGCTTTCCGAGGGCGAGCTGGCAACAACCTGGCTCCCAGCGTCAAGGCGGCTTCTGTTACTACGAGTACGGCGACTACGGGAGCCAACCAAGGCCAAGCACAGGGAACCGGAAGCCCAACTGGGCAACCAAAGGCGAAATCGAAGCCTGCCTGCCGTTTCTTTCTTACGGACAAGGGCTGCTCTAAAGGGTCCTCGTGCACTTTCAGCCACGCCTTCACTCGCAAAGAGAAGCTGGGACGATGTTGGACGTGTGGCAGCACCCAGCACCATCAACCGGAGTGCCCTGTGAAGGCTGGGAGTGGAAGCCCTACTGCCAAAGCCGGGGCAGCAGCCAAGTCGTCGCCTACGGTGAATTCTATTAGCCAGGCTTCGTCGACCGCTACTACGACAGCATCTACGACTTCGGCGGCTTCGGCTGGTGCTGCAGCTGAAGTACCTCCCCCAGCAGTGCCCGAGACCGAGCTAAAGAGCCTTTTGGAAGAGGCTAGCGCGATGCTCAAGGAGATTCGCCAGCTAAAGACTTTGTCCTTGACGGTTACCAACGTGCAGAACCAGGCGGTTGGAGTTGGTTGCAATCCTGAGGATGGCCGTACTGGCCTTCTGGATAGTGGAGCGAGCCACCCGTTTCGGGAAGCGGACGATGATGAGATGATGGACGCTGACCAAGTTCGAGTACAATTGGCTGGGGGCCGCGAGGCAGTGCTTTCTCAAGGCCGGCACGGCACCCTTTTGGCCAAGAAGACTGGCGCAATGTCCTCGGCTCCTATAGTGCCTTTGGGGGCGCTTGTGGAAGAGCTGGGATGCCAGATATCCTGGTCCCGACGAGGTGGACTCGTAATACGTCACCCACAGCATGGGGTGATTCGGCCAGCCATGGTGGGACGCTGCCCAGTGGTGGGCGAGACGCAGGCTCTCGATCTTATCCGGGAGATTGAGTCCTGGAAGCTCCAGACCCTTGAGAATGCAACAAGGGTGACTGCGAAGGCTTTGTGGCTCTGGGACAAGGAGAAGCCATGGGCGCGCCACCTTGAGGACTTTGTTAAGAGTGGAGGCCGAGCTGCCCAACTGGCAGCGATGACGACAAAGGGATCGCCTTTTGCGTCGTGGACAGACTTGCAGCGATCTCTGCTTGCAGAGAACATCGAGCTCTCTGACCGTGCGGGCTGGGCTTACCTGAGGGCGGTCCCGGGCTCGAGACAGCGGAGGAAGAGGATGATGACGTTGCCCTGGGTGATTCACCTCTACTCAGGGCCCGGAAGGGCTTTGGATCCAGTGTTTCGTGAGTTGGATGACGGGAGGGTGATGGTTCAAGTGGACATCAACCGCAGCAAGGCTGAGGACATGAACATGGTGGCTGGTGTTTATCGTGCACTCTTGTGGGCTGCTGCTACGGGGAGAGTCGATGGGATCTTCGGCAGCCCTCCGCAGAAGCCTGAGTTGGTTCAGAGGATGATGTGGTTGTCTGTGGTGGCCAAGGCAGCACGAGCAGCTCATGGAGGCCATCCGGCGTTCGTGTTGCTTGAAGGCCAGAAGATCATGAAGCTCGCCAGGAAGGGTGAGGTGGAGCGATGGTCCTCGGTGTCTTCTAC